AAGCGGCCGGGGGATGAAGCTCACTACTCTAGTACCGAGGTTTAAAATACGTAAAGCTCTATGTCCACTTCCTCAAAAGTTCATGACACAGCACTTAATTAAGCACAGGGACGATTGTACCTTTACCTGTGTTATAATTGTAGACTCGTAACTACCGGATTTTTCAAATAAACAACAGCACTTCACCACAGAAAGTATTTTTCAGATCAGTTATGAAAATTATGTACCTTTTTCATGCTATGCAAAAGAAAGAGAGAAAGTAAGTACGAGAGTAAGATAAACTAAGAAACAATGAAGAAGAATTACTGAAATCAAACAAAAATAAAAAAGAGTCGTCTAAGGAGGCTACTTACTTGCCGACTTACACTTGATAAAGTTTCTACTGAACCACCGAAGCACCTTCAGTTCTTGATAGGAGAAATTTGACATTTCCTTGCCCTAGTTCTTAATGGTTCTATGCCCACATTTTGTGGTGTGGCGGAAACAAAGATGTAATGTTTGAAACATGAATACTTGAACATGGGAGGCTAATATTTTTGTAATTTATATTGTGAATGTTTCAGTGTAATTATGGATACACATATACAGCCCTTATACCCTAGAGAGCTAAATGCATTTGTAACCTGCAAAAGAATAGAAGTTGGAGATGAATTGCAACGCTTTTAACATTCTAAATTTCATGGATACCCCGCCCTATCAAGAGTAACGGTATCTGCCTGAAAGAGCGAGCGAGCGTACCAACAAATACGTGTAGATTTCGGAGTTTTAATTTTTATAAAATGGCTTCAGGGGTAATAATCCAGACAGTGTCCATACATCGCGAAATTTCAGTACAACACACCACAGGGCCCTGACACTACTTCTAGAAAATGTACGTGTGGCGAATCCGAGAAATTAAAGCAGAGCAAATACAAGTGCCGGAGTTCGACTCCCTGGTCCTACATTCCAGGATCCCAATTAAATTACTCTTTTTTTATTAAAACCGTCACAACACAACTATATTCAGGTGAGTGCCAAGTTTGGCTCTCCTACATGTTTCAGCTACCAAAAGCCATCATCAGGCAAATACATTTCAATACACCACTGAACTGTAGTACCAGTAAAATTGGATACAATAATATTAATTATATTAAAATATTTGGCGTAAAAGTACAATAAATTAGAGTATATAAAACGAAAGTTATAATATAAAACATGATTAAAATTCTTCAAGTTATGTTTTACAGCATCGAGTCAGTCGTTGGTTTTTACAATTTTGTTGTGTTCCCATGGACAAATTGGAGTATTCTATATTTTGTGTATATACGAGTATAAACTGTTTTGGAAGCTCGTGACGTAGATGTAGTATTATTAATGTTAATCTGGAAATGATATGAGAGTAATAGTGTTAAATTTTGTTATAATTAACAATTGATTTTGGTATTGAAGATATAGTGCATTATTCCTATAATACAAGTACAGTACGTAACTCGCTGATCACAGTGGCCGCGCGGTCTAAGGCAAGAGCTGTCTTCGCTCGGACGCTGGAATCGTGGGTTCGAACCTCGCTCAACGCAAGGATGTCTGTGGGCCGAGCCATAACTCAAGCGGTTAATCGCTGGCTTCCCACCGCGGCGGCTCGGGTTCGACCCCGGGTCTGGTCAAGTGGGATTTGTGGTGGACAAAGTGGCGCTGGGGCAGGTTTTCTCCGAGTACTTCGGTTTCCCCTGCCAATCTTCATTCCACCAAATTCTTCATCATCATAATCACCCTGGGCAGGTAAAATAGGCCCGTCAGTGGCCGCCGTGCCGAGTGGACCCAGCTGGATTCTACCCCCCACTAAGCGAACGGATGTCTGTGTGTGCGTTTATTCTGTGTTACCACAGGGGGATCCCCCCGTCCACTCCTCTCATTCTCCCTTACACATATTTCCATTAATCAGCATTTTTAACCATATATATTCCTATTTTCTGCCACTGTTCTTTAGTCTTGTTCTGTCCTCCTAATGCCTACTTCCGCATCGCCGTTCCTGTACCTCTGCTCCAGAAACTTGTCCTTCCAAATCCTTGTTCCTTTACGTTTCAGTATGCGGCCCCAGTCCCCTTCTTTGTTACACATTGGACAAATCCCTTGTTCGTTGTTCCTCCTATCCCCTTTCAGTCTCCAGAACCAATTTGTACCACATTATTCCTCTCCCGGCTTCCCCTGCACATAGTTCTTCCATACGTTCTTCCTCCTGGTTCTTCATTAAGCTGTTATACAAAGTTAACGAGTCTCTCACTCGTCGGAGCTGCCATATTTTACCTCTTCACATCAACATATCTTTTTTATCCATCTTTCTTATATTGATTTATTCCAGTCTCCCCCTCCCCCAAATTCTCCATGTACCACATTCTCAATTCCTCTTTAATTTTGCTCATATAGTTTTCCCCTCCCCATCACTACCCCTCCCTCCTTGTTCTGCCCCAAGGCGTCGCCTAATGGATTTGTCTCATCTGTTTCCCAACAATCTTAACCGATATTTCATTACTCTCCCTAATATTGTCCCTTCCCGTATATCCTCCCCAGCTCCTTCCCACGAGCACCATTCTCTGATGTCAGTGGTTCTCCACTGCTCTTCCACAAAAAAGTTCATTCACTTTCCCTACTTCCTTCCACACTCCAAACCCCATATTTCAAGCCTTGTCGTCATCCCTGTTGCTGGTACAGGCTCTATGTTTGTTATACAGCACGAAACAAAAATAATGTCAACACAATTAAATCGATTAGTTGGAAAATAAATAAAAAGCGTACATTCCCTTCTGCAACAATCCGATTTAATTTAATTGAAATGTAGCAATTAACATATAATAATATAAACATAAAAATAAAATACTGAAATTGGCCGACCACAATGGCCACAACAGGAAATAAGAACGGTTATGTATACTTCTGTATTACGTTCCGAAAAGTTTCGAAAAGAACTAACATGACGGCGGCACAAACATTTGAGGTATATTTAGAATGCTCCTACTATTCGTAGTCCGTGCTAACTAACACTCTTTCCACGAAGCAGGGCCCTGGCGACCTCGATAATCATTCATATGGCCAACAAATCTCCAGCCACTCATAGAAATCTGAATGTTCATTACCCTGTTCACACGTAGCGTTCACTGGGTCTTACATATGCTACGGAATCCATTCCAAACCTCACGTCTTACAAGATTCAATCTGATATTGTCAATTAAAATTATTTGTGAAACATTTTTCTGATTGGCTATTTAACGACGATGTCAGTACCGATACTATATACCGCAGAATGAGAGGACGACTAACAAAAGCGGAGCAGCTGATGGAACGAGAACTGTCAAAGAAAAAGCCCGCCCAGAGCCACTTTGTCCACCATAAATCCCACAGAACATGACCTGAAATAGAACCTGGGCCACCGCGGTGGGAAGCAAGAGACTAACCACCAAAGCGAGACAGGAAACACAATCTGGACTTCCGTTATGCATTGCTTTTTATTTGGATTTTAAAATTTTGAGTATTCAAGTTCATTCCAGTATAACTTTTATTAACGTCTTTGCCAGGGGCCGCGCCATAGCTCAAGCGGTTAGTCGCTGGCTTCCCACCGCGGCGGCCCGGGTTCGATCCCGGGTCTGGTCAAGTGGGATTTGTGGTGGACAAAGTGGCGCTGGGGCTGGTTTTCTCCGAGTACTTCGGTTTCCCCTGCCAATCTTCATTCCACCAATTGCTCCACAATCACCCTCACCTATCATCTGGGGCTGGTACAATGGGGCAGAAGTCGCCGCAGTACAAGGGGCATAGTCCCAACCCACTAGCATTAAAAAAAAACTGTATCAGAGAGTCAGTCAAGAATTCAGTTACCCAGATAGACAGGCAGTCGGTTGGTTGGTCAGTCGGCTAGTTAGGAAGGCAATTGACCGCCCTGGAGAGTCAGTCAGGCGTAGAATAATGAATTGCATCATCACGCGGGCACACAAAGAACCATTCATTAAGAACTAGCTAACGTTTTATTAAGATTAGTATGTATGTCGTTTGGTCTCCAAAAGTAAAGGCATACTAACTTAAAACTACATTGTTACGAACACTGAACGAAGTCTGTCTATCAATCTATGGCTCTACCGTCATTTGTTGGGTTTTTGCAGCTAATTCAGTTTCTTGATTTTTTACACAGTCGATAGGACTCCTTGTACGGGGGATCAGCCCGTCTTAATGTCGCTACCTACACACAGAACAACACAAACACAAAATAAATGCACACAGACATCCGTGCCTCGAGCGGGGGAAGACAGTTCATGCCTCAGACCGCGAGGCCTGATTGGAGTTTATATAACACATGTTTTTCACATAAGAATAACTTTGTTGATTTTCAAGATAAAAACTTTTTAAGAACACAAAAAAGAAGGTATTTTAATGCATTTTTAGCTTACCTACGGAAAATAATATCAATCATATGACGTCCTTCTTACTGGACACACATTTGGAGCCTCTCCTCAAAATTCTGCATCGCATTCTGCAACATGTCTTCCGGCACAGCTGCAATTTCTTGATGAATGGAAAGTTTCAACTCTTGGATCGTTCGTGGTCTGTTCGTGTACACTCATAAAGAGTGTCACACATAATCAGAGTCACAAACTGATGGATCAGGGGAGCGCGGGGACCAAGAAACGTCACCGAAACGGGAGATCACATGTTGGGGGAACATGCGTCGAACAACTTCCATCGATGCTCTCGCTACGTCGACATGTTAAACAATTTCCTACATCCAGAACTCCTAAGACGTGGGGTAAACACGAGACAAATGTGGTTCCAACAGGGTGGTGCCACGGCTCACACGGCGAGAGCATCAATGGAAGTTATTCGAAGTTGTACACGGCAGGGTGGGCCACAGAACTGGTCTGGACGCTGTGGAGAAGACAAAAACTTCTTAACCCCCCTCCCTCTGCCGTTCATCTCCAATCAGATATTCTGAACTATGTTAATACCTCACGCTAATTTATTGGATAACATTAACTTACCTGCAACTGCCAGATCCATTTTTGAGTAGTTTGGTGAATTCCGACATATCGACGAACTCTCCCCACCGCTAGGGGCGCCAGAGTCGTATGTCAGGACTCCGACATCTGAAAATAAAACGCAAATGCAACAATTAACAACACGCGGTTCAACTATCTTGTAATCTAATTCAGTGAACTGAACTCTCTTGAAATCGAAGCACGATGCATACTCGTATGTTACATATCCCCTCCCTTCTTCTGTCGGCAGCCTGTTTAGCAGGGCTGCAGACATACCAACCAAATCGAGTCCAGTAAAGTAAAGCAAAAGTAAATTAAAAGTGAAGTAGAGTAAAGTAAGGTCAATTAAAAGCAAAATAAAGTAGAAGTGAAGTAAAGTAAAGTAAAGTAAAGTAAAGTAAAAGCAATTTAAAAGTAAAATAGAGGAAAGTAAATTAAAAGTAAAATAAAGTAAGAGTGAAGTAAAGTAAAAGTAAAGTAAACGTAAAGTAAATTAGAAGTAAAATAAAGAGTGAAATAAAGTAGAAGTAAAGTAAAGTATGTATGTGGTTAGAGGCACGTCAGCATCGATGGCTATTTGCGCCTGGATAACATTCTGGAGGGGTCATTTTATAAAATCCAATATTAAATTTCTTAAAATAGACATTTTTAAAGTGGCAAAAAGTCAATAAACATTTTATGGAACCCGAATGTTCATCACCGTGTTCATAAGAGCCCTCCACTGGTCCCTATCCTGAGCCAGATGAATCCAGTCCATAACATCTCATCCTGTTCCTTTAAGATCCAACTTAATATTATCCTTCCACTGATAATACCTAACTTTGGAACCTCTGTTATTATGTATACAACATTTATGCAATGGCTACTACTAGGTTCATTAAATTTAATGTACATTTCAAACTTTGATCGAGAGGGTAAAAGGAGTGTTCATTAAATTTTAGTGTTTAAATGAAGTAATTCTAAGATTAGAGAAGCCAGAAATACACAACTTCTTCATGACGGACTATGGACTTTCATGCCACAGCAAGCTGCACGACATAAAACACATGTAACCGTACTGGAGATATGATCAAAGCAGCAGCATGTCCAAATCCGCGATATAACGAAGGCATAATGTACTATTATTTATTTTATTGCTAGTGGGGTGGGACTAAGTCCCTTGTACTGCGGCCACTTCTGGCCTATTGTACCAGCGCCAGATGAGAGGTGAGGGTGATTGTGGAGCGATTGGTGGAATGAAAATTGGCAGGGGAAACCCAAGTACTCGGAGAAGACCTGCACCAGCGCCACTTTGTACACCACAAATCTCACTTGACCAGACCCGGGATCGAAACCGGGCCGCCGCGGTGGGAACCCAGTGACTAACCGCTTGAGCTATGGCGCGGCCTTCATATTAGAGTTACTGTAATGTCAATTTCCTGGAGGGACTTAGGAGAACTACAAAGTACCCAATCAGTATGTCGCTTCCGGGCCGAGATTTGAACTCTGATCTTTCGAATAATAAGTTGGTATATCTAGGCCAGAAGTGGCCGCAGTACAAGGGACTTAGTCCCACCCCACTAGCAATAAAAAAAAAGTTGGTATATTATTCATTGATTCTGTAGTTGAATTTATGCACCATATGATGACAATGGTGAAGCAAATTACGTGTAGATAAGAACTTCTTCATCCCGGACTCCAAACTGTGAACTCAAACTTCTGAGGATCGAGACTAAGAGCTCTAGCTATAAGACGCAATTCGTACCACAGAAGGGTGAACTCCAATAACAGAGAAAGTTATAATAGGCTTGTTCATAATCGGATTCCAACCAATTGCTGTAAGGCTCACCAATACAATCGCGTTCTTGAGAGCGCCCATTCTCGCGGGGGTGTTGCACAATCCTCCCGCAAGCTGGGCCGACCCATAACGCTTCATTTCGCTTTACGGTTGCGCTCTTTAGAAAACTCACGTATACTATTAAGTGCTTTTCTCAGACATAAACTGATATTCCTCACACTCTCTGCTAGTGAGCGCAAAGCACGCGGCCTCTAATACACTCGTAATAATCGTCTCAAACGAACCTGTAACAATGAATGAATGGGGGTAAAGGGCAGACGGCGCTTAAGGCTGAAAACCTTACCGCCGTCTATGAGCCCATTGTCTAGAAAATGTGGGAACCTCTACATCTCACAACCCTCTGGGCCTTCACGGCCTGTTACAAGGATAGCTTTACGTACTTTAATTTTTACTTACTTATTTTTCAGCGGCTTCCGTAGTCTAGGGGTAACGTTCCCACCTCATGACTCAAGGTACGCGGGAGGGAGGGACTTTAAGCCGTGGGTCCCGTGTCGTAGATTTACGGGACGTAAAAGCTCCTCATGTCTCTAGGAGACCTCTGAACAAAATTAGGCAAGTTTCCCGCCCAAGTAGTTTCCAATGCCTCTGGTAGATGGGGGTAGTATCGAGGTACCGATGACCGACATCGTTGGCTGAACGGGGCTGATAGCACGCACCAGTACCGGTAGGGTATGGCGACTGGTAGAATATCANTGCGTTATATTCCATAAGACAGAATATATCAATGTGAAATGAAGATTATTGCATTTCTTTACATTGTAGCTATTCAACTTTCACATCTCGTCTGTCTACATACGTGCTCTCCACATCCGCCTGCTTGCCAAATACCTGCAGAGCAAATTCTAAATTCTAAGAGAGACACATTCACACTTCACAGGTCCTGCGACATATGTTCTTCGGGTCGCGTTCTTACACACAAGGGGCAGCGAGGTTAGGGACACCGAGTCTGTCTCATTAAGTCCCCTCAACTGTAACACTGATTTTCGTGAATAATGTTCAAATCTGGTAATTTGGAAGATGCTGAAATTCACCTTCATGCTCCTCAAACCATAACTGAACAGTCCCAGTTGTGTGAATAGGGTCACTAGCGTCTTGGAAAACTGCACTGTTGTTAGGAAATAACATCTGGGTCATGGGAAGCAGCTCATTACCCAAACTGTCCACGTATTCTCTTTCAATAATTCAGCAATGAAGTGTAATAATGGGTCCAACAGAATGCCACGATATTGTTTCCAAACCATCACAAAACCTATCACGAGACATTCCGGATTGTAGGTTTCCTTGGGTGCTCTCCAGAGTAAACTCTTCCTGATATAGGGAACAGTGCAAAGGACCGACTCATCTGACCATATCACGCTTTTCCAGTTGTCTGATGTCCAGGTTTTATGGTAGTGACACCATCGTCACTACGGGATGGATATAGAGAGAGAAAGAACTGGACAAATTATGAAAGCAGCTTTCTTGGTATATTTGATATATTTATACCAAGAAAGCTGCTGTAGTTGTGGGAAAGTTGGATTTTGTATATACTGTGCATTACAAAACATTATGCTGAATGTTATTAACAGGATTATCAGGATGCTGAAATATAATATTATGAATACCTTACGGTTATCAGTGCAGTAATGCTATCTGCAGACATCTGTACTTGTGGTCCGAGATTTTAGTTTCATTGCGTCAACAAATGAACGTCCGGTGCAGTGCAGGAACAGACACACAAAGAATTTGAGACATGCTGACTGAATGAATAAGCAACGACATGGAATTTGCAACCCTAGTAAAGTAAAAAAAAGTAAAGGTATCCCTGTAACGGGCTGTGGAGGCCAATAAGGTTGTGAGATGTTGAGATTCCCACATTCTCTAGACGATCGGCTCATAGATGGCGGTAAGGTTGTCAGCCCTACGCTCCGGCCGCCTTTTACCCCCATCCATCCAATTGCTGATCCGATCATCTTAATATTCAGCGAAAAGTAAGTCCTCATGTTATGAAGCTCTTCATCTCTCTTCGCCCCCCCCTCCATAAGTTTTGTTTTGGGCGCAGATGTTTCACCTCAATTCTCCACAAATATTCTCCCCGGTACTCTGTTCCCAAATATTTTCCTCAGTTCTTCCCAGATAACTGCTTTCGATCCGTGTACTTCACTTAAAGCGCGAAACCATGCAGGAAAACAGAAAGAATTGTAGTTTTTGTATATTTTAATATTCACGTTTTTAGATTAAAGAAGGAAAGGCAAAAGAACATGAACTGAGTGGTACCAAGAATTTCCTCTCTTTTATCTGGTCTCATTTCTTTCGTGAAACCACTCTCTTTCGGTGCTATCATTTATAGATATTTGAACACTGCCAAATTTTCAGAAGATTGCAGGTTTCTTTATCTTGAGTGTCGGCGATGTGCCTTGGACAACTACTGAACAACCGAGTGGCTATATGGAAACAGCTCCATTTAAACCATGGCTCACTAAGCAGGGCCACAAACGCTCTCGGGAGAACATTGTATATTTCTTCCTTATTACGAGTTTACCCCACAGTCTGACGGCGAAATATGAATTTATAAGTGCATCTGTTTTCTGTTGGCGCAGCACAGTCGGTATAGCAACTGGGTACGGGCTGGAAGGCCGAGGGGTCGGAGTTCGAGTCCCGGTAGATGTCAAATTTTTATCCTTCCCACGTCTTCCAGGCCGATTTTAGGGTCCACCTAGTCTTCTATCCAATGGGTACCAGGGACTCTTTCACTGCGGGTAAAGCGGCCGGGGCGTGCAGCCAACCATTCACCTCCAACAAGTGCCAAGGTTAAGGATACGTGGATTTATACATATACTCCCCCATACGCCTTCATGGCTTATTGCTTAATTAGTTAACCTTAACTTTACCTTTTTTACGCTTTTACTTCTCAACTGGCATTCTTACTGCCTTTCAATACAATTTTTGTGCTTACTTTATGGTATTTAAATCCTCACTACAAAAATTAGCATCCCCAAAACAAATGAGAATCTTGTGCGCCTCATTCCTGATGAACTCGTGTCTTCCTGATGGTGTATCTTAAAGACGTCCCGGCAAAACAGCAATTCGTTTCAGATCGTTCTGGACAGGGAATACCTGTATGGGCTTTACTACAGGTTTCATTTAGAAAATTCCGATTAGCCAAATTATTTTCAACGGCATACCAAATCTAAAGAGAATTCCGTACCCGTTGTTAGGCAAATACCTCGAAACAACGAGGTAACAGCCACTGCTATGCACCTGCGCAGTAAACACGCCTCTACAACAACAG